CATGATACGAATATAGATTTAATTTTTTTTTTCTAGGAGTTCTAGTGTTATCCAATTTTTCGGTTGACACGAACGAAATATTTTATTACTTTTGATTGCTGAACATGATCAGGTTGCACAATCATATTAAACAATAATTTATTGTATTTATTAAAACTTACATATACTCTGAGTGGATTCCAGGGTCGTAATTAATTTATGAGTATTTTTTTAAATAAGTGTACAGTGATATTTTCGATTAAAAATAATGGAAAAGTTAGGTATGTAGAAATTAAAGTGTATTACTTAATGTTCGAGAAGAAATGTTACATTATTATTTTAAAGTTCTTATTTAATTTTTTCCGTTAACACTTGGAAAACTACTAAGGCAATCGAAAAACAACCGAGTTTTAGTACCATTTTTCTTGGATTATCAATTTTAAAAGAATTACTTGATGTATATTAACGACCAGAAAAATGTATGATTAGAAGAAAAAAATCGTTATCTTATTATTTTTCATGAGAGCAAATTGGCTATACTACTTGTGATCTTACTCGTAAATCTAAGGTCAAGTGATTTTCTGTACAATTTTAGTGCAGTATAAGTAATAAATGTACCAGAGCATTAGACCATGAAGTAATAATGGTCTAATTAACCAATAGGAAATTGCTTAAGAAATAATGATTTAAGTTTATTTCGGTTGAACTTGGAAATTTTGAAAAACAAATTAAGGTAAATATTTAAAGTAACACAAGAATTCAAAATCTTCTTTCACGAGATGTGCGTTGTATTCATTGTTCATGTTATGAATATTGTGTATTGCAGTGTTGATTAACATAAACAATTTTACTATGTAGATCAGTGGTGGCTAAACTATGGCCTGCGGGCCAACTCCGGCCCACCATCATTGAATATCTGGCCCGTGAAAGTATTCTACATTGCAACATTTATTTTCGTAACTGTAAAATTTTACATTTACGTAAAAAGAAAATTGAAAAAATACAATAAATTTTTTTATGGCTCATGGTAAAAAAAAGATGTTTTTTTATGGCCCGAGGTAAAAATAAAGTTTGGCCACCATTTATGTAGATCAAGTGATATTTATAACTGTATTAGAGATTGTTTTGTTTAACGTCACGAATAGAGAAAGTGGTTTGGATATACTGGTAATATTTTATTATTGTTTTAACTTGAGATAAATTTCATTAGTATTTTTTATTTATATCGAATTCCTTTAAAAAATACCCACATTAAAAAGCATCTGGTTATGAGCTATTTATTTCACAAATAATTTTTACTCTATATAATACGTACACCTATTTTAAGTATATGATTTATATATTGATGTATTAATCCTTTTACAAAGTAAATATTTAAAAAAAAATTAAACTAATAACCAAATAACATTAGAATAAAATATATAATTATGATATGTATATTACTTTTGAAAATTGGTCGTACTTTGAAAATTTTAAAATAATTAAATTACCATCGGTTTTCAAAAATTATTTATTAGTTCAATACAACTTTCTTAAAATTATCGAATACTATTTCTCTTTACTAAATCGTAAACGTAAAACAGTTTTTATTAAGAAATTGTTCATAAATAGTTCGGTGATAAATAAAATCTGTAAGTACTAAATTGATTTAATTTTAATTATATTATAATAATTTATCATATATACAAATTATTGTAAGTATATATATATATATATATATATATTTACATCAGAGGAAATTCAAGTTTAACAATTTTAATTTGAAATTATAATTTATAGATTATGTTCTTTAAATTTGAAATCGTAAAAATGTTTTCTGTTGTGGAATTTCATTCAATACAAGGTGGTTTAGTTTTTAATTCGATGCAGTATGATTATTTGACATGTATGAGGAGCTCATCTACTAATTGACAGTACCAAAGTGTTCATGGACATAAATAAAATATAAGCGTTAAGCTGTATGATAGAAAAGTATATAATACACGGAAATAATAATTGTGACAGGAAGCTCGAAGCAAAAATTATAGCAACTTTGGTGCGTAGAAAATGTTATGTGCATAACGTATGGTAAATCGGAGATGACTAAAAAGAGTAACATGACGAGGGAAGCGTGAATTTATGGATACATAAATTTAGATTTGAATAATGATAAATTGGTATGGTTATGAAACTGAAGGGAATCATGTAACACAGTGGTGGCCAAACTTTTGTTTTTCCTCGGGCCATAAAAAATAACTTTTTTTTTATCGCGGACCATAAAAAAATGCATTCTAAATTTTTTTTTACGTAAATGCAAAATATTACAGTTATACAAATAAGTGCTGTAATATAGAAGACTTTCGCTGGCCAGATATTAAATGATGGCGGGCTGGAGTTGGCCCGCGGGCCGTAGTTTGGCCACCACTGATGTAACAGATCAATGTACAATTTATTATTTACGCGTATTAAATTGATAATATATAATGTTTATGCTACTGGTTGGTTTAAAATGTTTTAGCACATACAGCTGTAGGTTAGGTTAGGTTAGGTTAGGAATTGTACAATATAAGGAAGGAGTGGTGCAGGTTTATTTTCTCAAAGCGGTCGTTCTTTCCGAAGAGCGAAACCATTGGGTACTGCGTCCGGTTATTTATTATTTCCCTATAGTTTAATGACAGCGTTAGTAAAAGTTTGTGATACCTAATATAATAGAATATTGTTGTGTTACTGAAGTACGCTTTAATTTGGAAACCATTTATTCAATTATTCAAATAACGCAGCGCATGTATAGTACTGATATATAGTAACTATATATAGTAACATATATAGTAACTGATTTACGGGTCCATAAACTACCGCGAGAATTTAAATTGTTGTATTTTATGTATATTAATTACTTAATAAACAGGATATTATCCTATCTCGAACAATAACCGAATAATATGGAAAAAATCGCTTCAAACGTTTAGTAGAATTTTATTTGTTGAATTTACATATTTTTAAGATTTGTTTTTTTGCTCACTCGCGACAGTTGACAGTATTGGCCAGAACTATATTGACGCGTTATTGTGGTTAAAACTTTGTCATCACTATGAACGTATGTGGTCATCCATCCGGAGCTGTAATGACTTGAGTCGCAGATTAACCGCAGTGACGTCGATTAGAAATTGTTGCTAACTACTGCGACATAATCTTTGTCATAACCTAATATAATCTAATATTTTTAAAAAATATTAACGTTCACTATTCATGAGTTTTATAATATAACTATTAGTCATTATATGGGCTATATTTTATCATTATATTTTTATAACATTGTTATTATATAAACACTATAAACCCATGGAAATCCTAAGAATATTCTGTGAAAATAGTAAATACCATGAGAGCGAGTGTCCATGGGGTATTAATCACAAAACTTAAGTTACTTTTTTCAAAGTTAACTTTTAACTTAATAAGTTAATGAAAAAATATAAGTAATTTTTAATCTAACTTAACTTTATTATTTTAAAATAACTTAACGAGTTAAAAAAAATTGTTAACTTTCCCAGTCTTGGTCATATGAATTTTAAACTCCAACTATCCTTTTCTGTGCGTGAACTAATTTCTTATTTGTTATATAATAATTGCTGTATGGTGTGTTTTGATATATTTTTTAAAATATTTTTACGTGAAATTCATTTACTTTCTAAAATGACAAATCTCGTATTTCCATAGGATAATAAATTTTGACACTATAGCCGATTATTTGACCTCAGTCTTGTTGCTCACAATATTTATTGAATGAAATTGATTCGAATTAATTAATATTAGAGAAAAATCTTGACAAGTAAAATATATAATATGCACATTGTAAAATTGAATTCATATGATTTTTCTATATTTTTAGATTGTAACTTAAATTAATTACCAGTGAATCATCCTATATTTTATGATATTTGAGCTTAATTTATTGTAGTTTACTCAAGTTCATTACATTTTTGTTTGTTTGTTATAATGATGGATACACTTCTTCGACGAAATCTAATATAGTGTCCAATTTTCGAAAAAACTGCCCGAAAATCAAAATGTCATGACGTATATTCGAATTTGAATTCAATTTTCAATCTAATGAGATACTATGTGAAAAATTTGGTGCAGCTTATCATATTATAAAAGATTGGCTATAGGAAATAAAAACATGATTGTAAAATCAATACATTCCTCGCTTTCCTTAGAATCGAAAAATTAAACATCATTGTAAAATCAATACATTCTTCGCTTCGTATAGTATCTTAAATTATAGACTAAAATAATACAACCAAAATCGTCAAACACTTTGAAATTGTATACACTTAAAAACTGCCGAAACGTATATTGAACTTTGGTAAATAATAGAAAAATTACTATTCTAAATTACCGGATTCATAGAGTTTCTTATTAATAACTAGTATTAATGTATTTACACTTTGTGTTAATTATACTGGTAAAACATAAACTTATAAAAACAGTTTTACATAATTTTATACAAATTTGAATTTCCCATCAGTTTTTAGTTTTTTAATTTGTATTTAAGTCGAACACTTTAATATTTCACATCGAAGCCGTATAAAATCAATCGTGATCAAATTAATTTACTTTACTATAAAGTTTTAAAATTTGTATATTATTTGTCATGACATTAACTTTTTTTTGAAAATGATTTTAATTAGAATGAACATTATTAAATTAGCCTAAATATTTAATTATTATTTCTACTGTCAAATCGTATTACCCTTTAACGTTTATTTTCATTAAATTATGGAAGCAAAATAATTAATGTTCATTTACGTACTCCATATTTCTATCTATGGACAAATGTTAAAATAAATAATAACATACCATAATGGACGTATTGTTTTTGGGGTAATTATTTTTGAATTACATTTCAATTTACATTACGTTAAAATGCTTCGGATAGATTCATGAATTTACTTTCGAGAGGGCGAATATTACGTAAAACGGAACGTTCGATAAACTTTCGTGTACGGTATAAACATATATTATACTTGTTTTTAACGTACCTGAGCATATAAAGTATATCGCCATCAGGTTTGATGCGTATCAAAACATTGGGCACAGTAACGAATTGAAATTCTGCGTGTTTCGCATTTGGAAAATACACTTCTGGTTTCCAAATGGCTTTGACTAAATTCGGATCATTTAGGTCCAAAGATTCTGTGATATCCGGGTGTTGTAACCTCGCATCTTGCCATTTTTGTCGAAGGTATAAGTCAACCTCATAATCCTGTAAAACAATTTATAATTGTAATAAGATGTTATTGCTTATTGTTTATTTGCTGTAACAACGTGCTAATAATATTTAGTGTACAGTAAATGTTTGATAAATTAATATTTCAATATTTCGAATAATATTTAAACTTCGTAATGAATGAGATTAGCTGATAATATTTATTAGTAAAGTTATACATACATTTGTTTAAATAAAGTAAATTACTTATCAAGCAGTTTTATTGTAAAGTATAAATGTAGTAAACGTGATAGGATTAAGTTTTAATGAACATTTATAAAGAATAGAATGAATAATATTTGTTAAAAATAACTTTATTGCGATATTTTAGAATTATTTTGAAACGCAAGAAAAAGCTTTACAACAGACAAATAGACAAAGGCAACAAAAGACCTATCCTCAAAAACAATGCTTCCCTATTCAAAACTTCTAATTAGTATAAAAAGTATTATATAAGTAAAAATATTAAAATAAAGCACGAACAACCAATTAAATATTTTCAAAGATACTGTTCTTTCACATATGAACTAACTGCTGTTAAAATTCAGCCTATAATAAAATAATACTAAAAATGTAAATGAAATATTATATGAGATTGTTATAGCTAGAGTTATAATCGCGTAATGTAAATAATAAAAATTCGCATGAATGACACTTAAAATAATATTTTGAAAAATGAAAGATATTATTTAATTTTAATTTGAAATTTTTGCTAAAATTAAGTTTGAATATAATCGTATTCGACTTACAGGTTTTATGATTTTAAATTGCTATCTTCATTGTTTTTAGGTTTAAAAAAATTAAATATTTATAATCAATTGTAATTGTAAAATGTTTAATTACGTTACTGTCAAAAATTTACAAAATTTAAGTGATAAAAAATATCCACCTGAGCAAAATCATCTTCTCGACGGTAAGACGATAAGAAAAAAAAAATTAATAGTTAAATTATTCTTCAAATTTTCACTTCATATAGAATTTAAATTAAAGTTATTAAAAAATGCATTTTCTCAAAAAGAACATTGAACATACAATTCAATGAATACTTGGATATCTTTGGATATACGGTGGTTCTATTCATTTAAAAAGTTAATAATGCATTTAATAAGTAACAAACATCCTGATAAATTTGATAAAATTTGCTCTTATAAAACGTTTATTTTTCCCAAAACACAAATTATAATACATTGAAATGACGTTAGTGATAAAAATGAAACTTTTGATAATTTATTTTAGTGTCATTGTTGCAGCAAAATATTTAAGAGATTTAAATTAAAATCTGATAACGATTGAAAAATTAACTGAATTATGTTATAAGTATTATATTAAAACAATGATACTGGACGGATTATTTATTAATTGTCCTGAGTGAATTCAACATTGAATAACAGTAATCATTTGCGGTGCATATCTTAAATAAAAAGTACCTACTATACTCGTAACCGAGCTTTAATTTGTTAATTTATTTGTATACACATAAGAACCATTTTACTATGTTTATGTTATAATTATAAATTCGGAAGTTTACTTTTTGATTCTTGGTCTATTGAATATTATAAGACATAAATTGGAACGTATTGTGATGACAATAATTGTTGTATATCATTATTATGAATCATTCTCTTTTCAGTTACTCTTTAAAAAGCACTTACATACTCGGATTTTTTTTTTTATATTATAACTTTATATTCTATACGGATTAATAAAACACTTATACTTTATTTCTGTAAATTTTAAATGCATTAGAGTATTCAATTATTATAATTTGTGTGTCATTTTATATATATATATATATATATATATATATATATATATTTTACTTCGAATAAAAGGCGTATTTATTGAATAATTAAAGTACCACATAATTGAATATGAATGCAAAGTTATTTAAGTATAAACATTTTATGTCTTTGTCGATAAAGTAGTATAAATATATAAATTTAATTTAATAGTATATACTATATTTCGAATACTGAGCAATACCGAAAAGACTATATAAATGCATATATATATAATTTTATATGCAGGAGGGTGTAAAAATACTAACCGATATAAACAAACTATTTATACGAGTATATTATGAGTAAAACGAGAATTATATTGGTTTTATATTAATGTTTTTTAAAGTCCACATTAATTTATTTTGGTAATAAATTTGCGTCAACGTTTTCATAATGCTACATTTAAAATATTGAATGTATTTAGATTTGAATATAAGTAAATAATGTTCTTCTATATTATAGGGTATAATATGTAAAATATAATATTATGTTAGTTACAGTCAATGGTGGGCATTAACTTGTTAAAAAGTTAATTTTTTTTAAACTTTTAACTTAACTAGTTAGTTGTTTTTGTTTTTAACTTATTAACTTATTCAGTTAATTTTTTTATTGTTATAACTTAGCTTTTTATAGTTAATTAACGTTATTGTACAGTTAAGTTAATTTTAATTTTTTTTTTATCACGTGGAACCATTAGACAAAACTTATTCTTTCGATTTTTGGTTTAACTCTATAGTGTAGTTCTAAAAACCGGTTTAAAAATAAATAACATAGTCTTTTAAAAGTGTAAAGTTAAAATTGGATATTAATAACACAGGTACCTGCTGGTAAATACGATTTCCAATGGACAAAACAAAAAGTCGTCCGAGATATTTATATACTGAATTCAGTATTCTGCGTATTCGTTATAAATACAAGTATAACATATGATATTAGAAAAATTAACTTTTTTGTAATTGAGTTAAGTTAATTTTGTTTTCTATCTTAACTTTTAACTTATCGAGTTACTTTTTTTTTTGTTAAATTTTAACTTTAACTGAAGGCAATTTAATTGAATTAACTTAACTAACCACAATTAATTATTTTCATTAACTTGCCCACCTTTGGTTACAGTATTATAAAAGAAGAGATAGTTAATGAATTTGTTTAATATCACAGTGACTTTGACTTAAAATATATTTTTGAATATGAAATTAAAAAAAAAAAACTAACATTTATCATTATTATTCTCAAAATAATACAAATAAAGATATTTGAAAACACAAAGAACTCGTAAGACACTCAGCATACATCAATATTCTTTCTCTTGTGATTTTTCATTCCAGATAAGATATGTTATTGTAGAGAGATAGTATTAAAAATTTATGACGATTCGAGCAGAAGCCGGGAACATACATTTTTTGTTAATTTATTTTATTTATTTAAACTATCTAATAATTAGACTTTACTTTCGAGGAATATTTTTTGTGGTATTAGAAAGTTAAGTAATTTTTCGATGTAGTGAAAATACTAATTTATAACACATTTATTTTGAACGAAAAATATGACCTATTAATTTCAGTTCAAATAAAAATAGAACGCCACAAATTCCTCCGAGGATAAAACTAGCATAGTCTTAGGTTCTGCAGACTTCGAGCAGTGAAAGTTTTATTTTTTTCTTCTTACGATAAAATTAATTTTGTTATATCTCAATTTGGAATGTTCATATTAAAATGGTGCAGAATATAAGACAGAAAAAGGTTAAACAAATACATTTAACTGTGGACTATGTTTGCGAGAGTAAGTATTTTTTAAAAAAATAACAAATATCATACTCTCTTGTTTTCACCCGTATTTTAATAATAAATGCGATAACCTATTCAAATTATATAATAAAATCCACTGCATGCTATTTTCTTTGTCAAGATAAATTTTCCTTTTTGAACAAATATAAGTCCCGGTGGTGTTGTGTTAAATATTTTTGTTTTTTATTTTGGTTTTAAACGGTGTAGTAAATAACGAAAAAACATTTTCAATCATTTAAACCAATCTTTATCAAATAAAACATTTAATTTTTCCAATTTCGATCCATTAATTTTCGAATGATTATCTAAGATTGTATGTAAAATTTTTAATTAAAAAATGAAAACAATTTTGATTAATATTGAACATTTTCTTATCATCATTTAACTTGGACCTTGTGATCTATTTAAACGTTAATTCTAAGGATGTGTTATGAATGCAAACCTGTTAAACGAATTATAAAACAGTTGAGCAGTGCATTAGTATCATATAAATATCCAATAACATTTATGTACGGTCATTGTATTATTTTTGTTTGTTGATTTTAGTAATAAATTCATATATTTGTTAGTTCTAGTTTTACATGCTTCTCTATCGTAATACAATTTTTTCAGGTCTTTATACTTTTCTTTATTCATATCCTTTTTTATTTGGGCTATGTATTCTGCTCTTTGTCTCCTTCTTTTAATGTATCTTTCAACATCTCCTTGAAATATTTTCTTCAATAAGCTTTCATTCCTTAATATGTGTTCTATTATCGTGCCTCTTTTATATTTTATACTTTTCCATATTTGTCGTTATTTCTTTATTTTATTTAGTATCTCTTCATTCGCTACTCTCGTTATTCTCGGTGTTTATTTAATTAATGTGTATGATACCGATTTTTATACGAAACAAATATAATAAAAAACGTTTTACGACCCAATCCCTTTGAAAAACATAGTGTTTTTAATGAAATTAAATAAAAACTTTTGTGAACCTAATCCTAATTTTTGTCACCAGGAAGAACTTTTTTTGAGGATTCCCATGTGGCATTGAGATATTATACATAGTACGTATATGTTTGAGAAGATTTAAGGTAATTTAGTTTTTGTAAATAAAGTACCTAAGAAAAACTTGAAATAATTTTTATTTAATAAAAATATATACTGCTACACTATCTTTTGTATTTAAATTTATTTTTAATAATTTTTATTTATTATTATTTGTGTTATTTTTTTATTTATTTAATTTTCAACAAAATTAAAATTAATTAAATATTTTTCTTATACAAGTTATCACATGCTTTAATTTTATTAGCTAAATTGAAAGAAATATATGTTCAGTATTAAATTCTCGCCTAAGGTGCACATGGATTTGGAAACACGAATTACCGAATACAAGACTTGTATACTTGTATACCATACTTAGTATGATCCTGTGCCAAACCATATT